CATCTCACTACAGTAAGTGATGAGGCAACGAAGTAACGAGGTAACGAAGTGATTGACAGGTTCAGATTCTCGTACCGCGACTCGCTGCGGTTGCGCCGTGACTTGTAGTAAATCCTGAGTCTTTTTTCTTTTTTATCTGCATTTCCGTTATCCTCACCCTCAATTAGTTCAACTACATATTGAAATAAATATAAAAAGAACAATAAAAAAGAAACTGAAGCATAATATTCAAGTGAGGAGTATGTTATATTTAGTGAATTTATGTATATTCGCGATTTTATATTTTCGCTGCTATACTGTTCGCTATTATTTTTTTTCGCTATTAGATGCGTTTGCTCTTTTTGCTTTTCACTCATTTGCTGTTTGCCATTTTAACCGTTCGCTGTTTTGTAATCTCGCTTTTTCCATTTTTCGCTATTTTTCCTTCGCTCTTTTGCCTTTCGCTCTTTTGTCTTTCGCTCTTTTACACCGTTACTGTAAAATCGTAAACGGCTGTCGATTTCCATCATAATTGACTAGCATACGACCGTTTCCGACCGTGCGTGATTGATCTGAGTTCCATTAATAAGTTGGATTAATACAGAAAAAAAAAAATAATGTGTTTATAGAAAAATCACAGTTTCTATAGAAATTAGATTACAAAAGTGAGTACCAAGGAAGTAAAATTATGTTTTGAAGCAGAACGACCACCTGTTATCACCAAAGTTTACATTCCATTGTTGTAAAACGTAGCCCGATGGACACGATCCTCGTGCCGGATAATAACCTTGACATGTTGGACCTGTGAGACCGCCGTTCGTTTGCATACCACATATTGTACCAGGTAAATCATCGAGTGTTGCATTAATTTTATAACACCAAGCGACAATTCCTGAACCCCAACTTGACAACCATTGATATTGTTGATATCCAGTTGGACAACCGTCAGAAAATGGGTTCTTCCCACCACATGGATATCCACTGCTGTCTTGGGCAATTCCACAGATTGTTCCTGTTTTACCTTGCAATTTGTCCGTGTCATCTTTTGAACAAAACTGCATCAACCCTGAGCCCATTTTATAAATGGCCCAGTTATGTCTAGAATAACCCGCTGGACAGCCATCTAAAGGATTCACACCCTCGCAATCCATTCCAGCTCCATTCCTGAGACCACATATTGTCCCCTGTAAGATATCTTGCTTAGGGGGCAAAATCACGGCCACTGAACAATCGATACCAGCCCATCCACTAACACACTCGCATATTCCAAATTGAAAATATCCAGATGGCTTACATATACCTTTGCCCGAACAGTTGCGATAACAGTAGAGTGGATTTTGAATATACTTCTCCAAGGCTTGTTCAATCAACTTCGATTTCGCTGTAATATTGGGTTCATTTGGAAACCGTCGAACATTCAGCAGACCAAACAAATATCTCACTCCAAATTTAATGATAATTGGATTTGAGGGTATAGTTTTGGACCATTCTTCTATACTTTGTAATGATGTGTCGCCACCGAGTGTTGTAGCTCGTGTTGTTTGTACATACCTCATAAATGTTTCATGCATGGTCTTGTCATATTCTTCGGTTGTCTTTAATTTGAATGAACCTGAAAAGGCTTTCAGAGCTTCTCCACCTAACTGTGCTTCATTTGTAATCGTATAACCATTCTTCTGTAAAATGCTACGATCTTGTTGATTTATATAGATATTTTGTTGTGCTATACCACCCAGTAACAGATCGGTAATGTAGCAGAAACCGAAATAATGGAAGACATAGTCATGTATATATTGCTCAACATCAGTGTTATATGTACAGCAAGGTATGTCTTCGATAACTTTTACAAATTCGTCACTAAGCTCAAGTCCTGGTTCAAAACTCGATAGACGGACTGTTGATATACGAGCACTCGTGTACAAGACGGTAGTGTTCTCTCTATAAATCTTATCAATCATGAACCTGGTTTGTTGTGAATACGAATATGAAAATGAAACAGACTTGAATTTTGCATCCAGTGATCCATAAAGACTTCTCGTCAAACTTTCTTGTAATTGTGAAAATGTAGATATGATTTCGGTGCCAGCTTGAATGTCAGTTGATGGGAGGCAATCCGCATAAACATGTTGCGGTATGACCTTCGTTCTACAGGAACCTTCCAGATGTTTGGTAAAATTCAATTTAAAAACGGGTAGACGAAATCCTTCCATCTGACAATCAGCAGTGTAACAGATTGGACTTCCTTGAAGGAGATTGTAGCCCAAACCGATTTTATTACTGTTCAATAGAAAATCAGCATTATTGTCTTCAAGGATAGCTTTAGCTTGCCGTGAGAATAATTGGTCAAGATCTGGTCTCTGTCGTTGACAAGAACCAATTTTTACGATGGCAAAAGTAATCATCAAAAACTGTAACATTTTGAGACGTTGGTAAAAAAAATGGTATATATTGTGATTACAAGCAGCTTTTATATGTAGAAATCTGTATACGAAAAAAAGATTTTTTCAGAGTAACAATGTTACATACCATTCGAAAAGCTGCTTTTTATATTCTGGTATATTATTATGTCATTATACAAATATTTACCTTCTTTGAGAATTAGAACGTCCTGAAGAAAAAAGGAAGCATGATTCAGACAGAAAAATATAATTATGCAACACACGCAACATAATTATATTTTGAAGGTGAATGCGATGAGGAGAACTGAGCGAGCAACACTGCACTCAAAGAAAAAGAAAAAGCAGAAACTGCAACGACAAACTAAAGTGGTAGTCTACAATGAAAATTCACTCGTTTCTACTTGTAAAAAATCAGCGTAGATTAATAAACTCTTAGGTTTTGAGGGATTTTTCATATAATATCAACAATTTCAAAGTCAATATTTCATATTGTGATCCAAGCAGCTGGTTTTCACATGGTTCAAAAATATGACATAAGTTAGAAATGGCCGAACGTTTTCTAGTTCTTTGAGATTTTGAAATTATCATTGTTTGCGATGATTCCGTTCTATGATGACAACGTTTAATGACACTCAACGCACTCGATGGGATGAACATCGTTCAATTGTAAAACTTGTACCTGAGATTGGTGTTGTAATTGATTTGAATGGTGTCGACATTTACTTTATTGATGAAAGATATTTTCCCAATGTAAAAGAGCTTAGCGTTGTCGAGCAGGGTGTGGGTGTGGGTGGGTGGTGTGGATGAAGGTGTGGGTATGAAGAAAGAGAACACCCGCACCCTTTCTTATTAAATTCGTCGGCGTTGATGATGAGTCCATTTGTTTGATTTAAGTTTATCGTAATGAAATAAAAAATAAATTGGAATTTTCCAAGTTACAGTTTTCTTATGAGGAATCAAAGCAAGAAGAAGTTTTTGTGTTTTTAAAGAGGTTAATATTTATTTTACTGTCAACTTTTTTCATCTTTTTCTTTCTGAAAGAACAATATACTGTCATCCTACAAATATCTAATAGAGATAAGAACTTGGTAAAAAAAATGGCACATCAAGATTGATGATGTCTAAAAAATGAAGTACTAGTAAAAGGGTGTGGGTGTGTAGTGTGAGTGGATGTCGATTTACTCTCTTCTGCCATCCACACCTACATCCACACCGATTATTCACTTCGGCATTCCAAGATCGCGGTTTCATCGTGGCAGTATTCTTTCAACATCTCTTTCATTACTAACTGCACAACTAACTCTTCAGAAGCTTCAGCTGCAGACTTCTTATCCAACAAGTGAAATATCATGGCCGAGGCAATGTGCACTAAAGTATTTTAATATTAATTGTTGTACATTGGATCAATATTGTATTGTTCTTTAGGATTCACCTTTACTAAAAACAGTCATAGTCACAGACTGCAGTTTTCTGATAAATTACATTACAAAAATGTCTTTATCAACTTTTGCTCTACTCACATTTGAACAAGTAATATCTTTGACACTCGAAAAATTATATTTCCTGAAAATGGACGAACTCAAATTCTTTCTTTCATTAACGTCTTCATTGGTTCATCTTCAAGTAACAAGCGAGAAAAAGGGTGGATGTGGAGTATTGGTGCGGGTGTGAGTGTGACTGTGGATGAAAGAAGTTCCCATATCCACACCCCACATATAAAAAGATATACTGAGAAGAGCTCAAAATGATTTCTCTAGAAATGTCGAAACTCATTCTTCATCCGAACATAGTCTCGAGAAAAGATAGGATTTATGACAGACTTAAGCGTTACATGGTTTTATAAAGAGGACAGGTGATCATGACGCACGATTATCAATCCAGGTCTCGTATGGATCTCGTGTTGTTCTAGCAGAGCTCTATTCAAGGTCAATGTGTATAAATACTTCAGATTACTTTGTTTGTCTCTGTCTCTCACTTATGCACTGCACTAGTGTTTGCTTTCTATTACAGCAGTACTTTATCACAAGATTCATTTGAGCGACTCTAAAGAATACCAAAAATTTTTTGTTTTGTAATTCATACATCTTTAGTAAATAGGAAGTCACACAGATATATAAATTACGAAAACTAAAAAAGCTCTCATTTTCTGTTTTTTTTTCTAAAACAAAATGAAAGGTTACAAGACATTTTTGTAAAACGTTAATCTCAACAGCAAAAGAAACATTTTCTGACATGGAAAATCAAGATTAAAATAGAACGTCAAATTGGATCAATCACATGTAGGACTAATGAAGCCGATAAGAATTATTACTTTCACCTAGTGTCAATCTATTTTGGTTAATTTGAGAAAATGATGTCTGATTGATAGATAATGAAGAAATCAAGTATGCACAAAACTGGTTAACTATAGAAAGAAAATTGATGACGAGAAATTTGGTATCTTGAGCGAACAAGACGTCGTTTTATTGTCTCCTATATATGTATTTTTACTATTATTATTGCATGTTGTCTGAAGAAGAAGAAGGTTAAGTATCGCACAGTAATCAATTGTAATAGATGTCCCGTGCTTGCAATACATTTCAAGGAGAGAAATCGATAATCCCTCTAGACAACAAAGATAAATACGCAAAAAGACAAATAGCATGTGAGACATGTCGTTTATTATTATGTTTTTACGCGACAAATGTTCTTTTCCAACAGTATCATAAAATGTTGTCCTAGTTAACTAAAAGCTGACATTGATAAGCCGAGTATAAGAAAAATTGACGCCATTAAGCTCAGCAGATGAGCAAATGAAAATGCCAACGGATCATTGGACATCAGAGCCAGTTTTCCATGTTGAGCAGTTGAAGGGTGAGGCGTAGAGTGGATGTGGGTGTTAAAGATCTAATGGATTTAAAATTATTTTTTTTTAACTCACGAAGAACCAAACTTTCATTTCCATAGATATCGTACGAATAATTTTTGCGTAAAAAATATGCATGATTTTCAAAGATTGACTTCTAACTTTGCATAAGCTTAGTTAACAATTCTGGTTTTTATAGTGTAAATACTAGAAGATGTTGCGATTCTTTTGATATTCGGCAAATCTTAGAGAGCTCTTATTTTGATTATTTTTCATCGAAAACAAAATAGTACTAATAATTTTTGCTGCGTCTATAGATTATTGATATTTATTAAAAAATGAAAAGAAAGAAATAAAAAGTTTTAATACTTAAAAAAAATAAAAATTTAAAAAAAAAATATTTCGCTCTATAATAAATACATTTATAAATATGTGGTATAAAAAGATCAATTAACTTTTTTTTTCTTCCAACTAATCAGAAATGCACTTAAGTTTGTAATTATAGATGCAATGATTTCGAGTGCTGCTGATTAAATCATCGGTGGCGGATCAAATAAAGCTGATGGTATTTCAATTCGAGGTATGGGTTCTGTTGTCGATGGAAAATAGTCCTTGATAAATAGTTCCACATGCATAAGAAATATCGGATCGGGTATCGAACTGTGATTATCATCTGGTAATGTGACTAATCGTTTTTTCTCAGTATGATTTAGTGAATTGTACAACGTTTGTGAATGATAGAGAGGGATCATATTGTCACGTTACCCATGTATAAAAAGTGTCGGACATTGAATATGTTTCATGGCTTCCTGGTTATTCCAATTTGGACAACTGAAAAGTTTTGAAAATATCCAGATTTTTTCTTGAATCACATTTCTTAAAGATTTATAAGGTGATTTTAGAATGAGTCCACCGACTGCTTTTGTAGCAGCAACATGACATGCGGGACCACTTCCCATTGAATGTCCGTAGACGAGAATTCGATCGGATGGCCATTGAAGTGTATCGCGTGCAAACGAATACGCACGTTCGGCATGATTATTGATCGTTTCTTCAGTAGGTTCTATTGGTCCCTTACATAGACCATAAGAAGGGTATTCAAAAGCCATAACATGTGCTCGAATTCGTTGACTCAATGCATTCATAGCCATCCCTATACTACCAA